CACGTGAACTAGACGTGGCGTCAACCGAAACAATCTAGAAACCGCTTTTGAAAAAGAGTGAGCTGACAAGATGGAAATTGGAAAATGATTTCAATTCAGAGCTAACGCTGGGGATATTTTGTTGCACAGTCGATTTTCTAATTCGAAATTGATGCACACTTGAACGTCGTATAAGACCCGTTAACGCTACACGGCTTCGTATAAAAATATAGGATTCCAGAATCGAGCTTCTCAGTTTGGATTGATAATGATTGATTCTACTGTCATTTTATAAGATTTCGATTCTGTCTGTGCCAAACTGTATGTCACTTAAAAATATTTAATAATTCTTGCCTAGTTTTAGTTTGAAAAAACGTGCCAAGAGAACTTTTGTTCCCAAATGGATGCACAAGTAGGGGTGGGCAAAATACCCATGAGTTTGGGTAACTTCGATTACCCGTCCATTTAAAGTTTACGATTATGGTTATGGGTAACTGTTTAGACGAACAAACGGTTATGGGTATAACCGTTTATCCATGAAATTTAAATAAACGGTTATGAATATTACCCGCGGTTATAACGGATATTCATTTACCCATTTAATTTAATATATGTAAAATTTAAAAAACTAATCTTTATTTTTGTTTTTTACTTTTGTAACGAAAGTCATATTTGTTTATATATTGTAATTTTCAATATATAACGGTTATAATGGGTACTATATCTGCCACAGACTGTATTCCATTGCCGCGGTATGTGCTTACCAGTGACTTCAATTCATCTTTGTTTATATATTTTGTATTGAGATCATAGAGCCTTCCTGGCATGTATCCGTTGAGAGGAAAGCTATGAGGTGAAGCCTCAGTACAAGAATTGTCATATAACACAAAAACTTAAAAAACAAATCTGGTCTGGACTAATGACAAGGTTCGAAAGAGAGTTTAGGACAGATACATACCATCATTTGAAATAGCATTTGTGATTCCAGAACTAGCTAGGTTTTGTATAGGCTGCTTTAAATTGATACCTGTTATGATGATATACTGGTAAGCACGTACCACGGTTATAACGAAAATTATGAAAAAAATTTCTTTTGTAATTTTCAAGTTGTTAAAAAAAACATGTAGATAGGTGAAAAAGGGTAAATGGGTTAAAAAAAAAGGATAAACGGGTTCAAAAACGGGTAAACAGGTAAATGATTATGGTTAAATAGGTACACAGTCATGGGTATGGTATAACCGTTTATGCAATTACCCAACGGGTAATCGGTTCTACGGGTATGAACATAAACAATTATGGGTAAATAACCGCGGTTACCCGCCCGTCATAACCATTGCCCATCCCTATGCACAAGCATCATAGCACAATTGAGAGTCAAAAACCAAAAATTCATGAACATCTTTTAATAACGAAAATTTAAAATCATTTCATAAAATAACACGAATGAAACAAGTTCTATTTTGTACATTAGAGAAATACAGAGGAACATATATCCAAAGGGAGCAAAACACTAAGGAAAAAAATACAATGGCGTCATGACCGGAACCATGGCGGCATGACCAGAGAGTAGGAGCAGAAAATGAACAACAACGGCCAGAGAGTGTCTTCCAACCATACGTAAGTGCTCCTGAGGTTTTCGTTACTCATCACTACTTGCTCTTCTTTGTGCTGCAAGGAGGACATTTGTACTGCGGAATCGATTCTGCCTTGGCTGGTGTTATCTTGACACACTTCCCATGGTACCACCTCTCACAGATGTCGCAGCCGATCCAAAACTCATTAGCACTGTAATTTCCTCCACAGCTTCCACATAGGGTTTCACTATGCTCATCTTCATCCTCCACATAGCTTGCATCATGTACCTTATTGTTGGTCCTTATTTGTCCGTCAATCGATCTCTGCAAACACATAAAGTGGGTCATAAGCCCAAATTTTGCACAGAGGGAAAGCATATCCATAGATCTTTTGGCAGCCAATAGTTTCCAAGAGAGAGAGAGTGTCTCACCTTTGAGTTCCTGGATTTACTTCCAATATCCCCACTGGGCTTGTCTTTTACAGGCTTCCTTCCAGTTACGACTTCAAAGATTGTAGGCAGATCATTTGTCAAGCTAAACAGTCGCTTCCTGTTCCAGGATCGATGGCCCAGCAAACCACAATTTAGTTTCGTGATAATTTCAACATGTTGGTAAGGTAAAGAAAATAATTTGCATTAATATAAATGGTGGAACCAAACAGAACTACACTATTCCAAGTGCCTGAGTGATCAATATCCACTGAATCAGGGAGCTAGAAGCCGAGGCAGGAAATAATATAGGAGGGAAGTGAGAATGAAAGTTCTGAACTGGCTGTATGCGGATGCAGAATCAACAGCTTCACTTACGTACACTTACGTTTTATTGTCCAAGAATACGAGTATTCACAACTCATTTGCAACAACAAAGACTTTACTTTCTACCATTCTGGTGATATACATTGCAATTGGTTGTGTTCTTTTTCGGTCTCAGACAATTGTTTATGTAAATATCAGAAACCTGTGCACTTAGAACTAACTTCCGAGGAATGTATAGCAATCTCAACAATTCAAATAATAGAGATAGAGGTCTTTTTTAGTCAAAGAAACAATCGTGAGTTCATCCCAGATAAATCAACAACGTGAATTCTTAAGACATTAAAGAAAATCTTGCACCAGGTCCATAAATAATGTCCCAGAAAATGCAGAATCTTTTAACTTGTATAGAAATTCAAAAGTATTTAGGACGCCATGCATGTATATATTGCAGTTTCCTGTACCATATTTGATCTAAATTCTAATGACTGAAAAGCACAACCTCATTTAAGGACCACAAAACAGAATGTGCCTATGTAATACACGCATATGCATAAGAACTGAAAAGCTGTACGATATGTTTCAAGCAAAATAGGCAACCAACATATCATTTGTAGAGTAACGAATGCTACTAGTTCCATAATAATTGGAAGAGGCATATTAAAAGGGGAAAAACAACAATAACACAACAACAGCTGGTTCTTGCTAGGGTTTTCAAATAATCAACATTGACAAATGTTACAATATCACACCCCCTAAGTTTGTCACCATCCATTACAAGTTTCAGCCATCAGTTGTCATAACCGGATCTTGGGCCAATACTAATCTTTTGTGCAACCAGACAATAAGAGTTGATGAAATAGAAAGGAAAGAATTTTGGAAAGCGCACAAAAACATAGAAACCTTATGGTAATATCCAGAATCAAATAGTACTTTACTTCCGCAGGTCGCAGAGCAAACAATCAAACATGAATATATTCAACATAGAATACAAGAAAAATATCAACTCTCAACTCTAGGACAAGAATAAACAAACCTCTCATTCCGATTAAGTCGAGCACCAAAGTAGAAGGCCACAGAGAGCAACCAAGAATCGCTATGTACTGCAATCAATGACAGCCAATCTTTACGGTTCATCCCATCTCTTGCGAAATTGATGCCCAGTGCAGGCTCAGGAAGCTCCGGGGGAACTTCCTCTGCCGGCAAAGTCACCTCCCACGACTCATCCGGGTGTCCATACAAGCACAAATTCTCCTTCTCTGAAAGACATATAAGTATAGACCGTTCGTAACAAAAAAAAACCGAAATCAAACAGAAGTAATGTTCTACTCCAATTAAACTAAACCACCACTATAATACGATTAGTAGAATCAAAAGGAGAAAATCGAGCAACAATGCACTTTGTTAGGTTACCTACAAAAAGCAGAAATCGAAACAAAACGAAGGCACTAAATCATGCTTGTTGCAACATTCCTCCCTAGTCAAAACCTAAAACGACTATTATCCTCACTCGGAAAGTAAATTTGACACAAGTTAATCACCAATATGATAATTAACAGATAAATAAACATACTTATGCTCAAGCGGCCAAGCCTGTATTTTCACTCAACTTTCTCGGCAACCAAACAGAAAACTAACAACAAGAAAGAAAATCGAAACAAGGAAATACCTGGATCGCAAAGCGAATAGAACTCGTCCACATCTGGAAGTGCAAAAAGGAACCAAAAGCGTCAATGAACATCACGATACAAGCAATGCAGTATATGTATGAAACCGAAACGTAGAGAGAGAAAGAGAGAGGGAGAAAGAACCGTTGGTGAGGGCTCGAATGACGGCGGAGCGCCGGGCGCTGTAGTCCTTGAAGATCTCTTCGACGGTGCGAGGGCTCGACGATGGCATTTTTCCCAATTTGTTTGTAATTTGATATATATTTTTGTAAAAACAGTAGGGACGGATTAGATAAGGAGGAGACCCGGCATTTCAATTGGGCTTGGGCTTCAGATATTGGTAGTGGATTTCTCATAATGGGCCAGCCCAATAATATAACCCGAATTTGTAACACATTTATTGACCACCGTGTTGACCAACTCTGACCTCGTTAATAGAAGTGAATCCCACATATGTATTAGAGATCAACAATGTAGTCAAGAAAGGTGGTTCAAATGGTACCGCTCTTGTTTTTATTAGTAAAGATTAGTGCTCGAAATTGAGGCATCTTCTAATATCGAGAAGAGAAGTACTATTAGACTAAAAGTTATTTGGTTGAATTTGAATACTGATTTTCATATGTTAACACGTTGGGTAGAAAACGTCCCAAGTTTGAATCTTGAACTATAATTCTACACCGAATGATCTTTTGGTGTTGGGACAATGGATTCGTTGAGATCTAGGTCATATTCCCCTTTTAACTAATGCCAAAATGGTCGGGAATCCAAAGTGAAAGAACATCTCTCTCCAAATGTGAAAAAACTTCCCAAGTTCAAATCTTGAGGGGAAATTTATAAAACTAACTCGTATTTTAGCTTTTCTTTCTATTTTTCCAAAATTTAGAAATATAACCACTCAAGACCCCAAAGCTCGAGGCTTTTGAAACCCTCGAGCAATGCTTCTTGTTTGACCAAAAAAAAAAAAACCCCAGTTTGGCAGTGTTCATCCTTTCTCTGGTTTTGGCAATTGGCACATAGAAGACACAAAATTACAAACACACTTGCTACACATTATATATGATGCTCGAACAAAAGCCCACCAAAACCATATGGGATTACGAGACTTGCACAGACTGGCCTAAAAATAACTGCAGCAAAAGGCTAAACAAGGCTTACAACAAAGCTACATATGCTACCTTCCTTGTACATCTACTTACAAATTTCCAATACTACACATTTCTTGGCAGTCATTTTAGTACAATGCTAGGGAGAACATAAGTTTGCGGTGCTTGACGTTCCAACCAAATCCCCTCGCAAGTTTTAAGTTTTACGGTAGTGATTCTGTTCGAGTTATGTCGCTTCTTAACTTCTGCAAATGCCCTGCTGAGTACTTGCTCCACCCAATCTTCCACCACCCAAGACCTGTTTGACAAATATAGAGCTGCAAGTAGTTGTTCCACGACTTCTGGATCGATTTCTAGCGGGCACTCTGAGTCGACAAACTTGTGGAAGCTACTCTTGATTTCCTTTGATATCTTCTCAGCAAGTGTGTCAAAATCAACGGGCTTGAATACCACTGTTTCGTCCACCTGATCAAGGAAGTCATGCAACCAGGACTTGGAGTTTTCAGATAGCCAGTCGTTTTCATAGGTCCCATCGTCTGTGTTTTCCACTGCATTTTCTTCAGATGGAAGGTTGAGATCCAGATACCTAGTTGACGTCTTGTTAGCCCGTTTGGGCATCTCTGAGACTTCATGCTGCTCTAGAGGTTCATTGACACCAACCAGTTTCCTTTTATTTAGAAAATGTTGATTCGTGGATGCCTTCCAGTTTTTGCTTTTGTTGTTGCCTTCAGAGTCGCATTCAATAATAATCTGCACAGGCTGCTCTTTCGCTTGTAAGATTCTTTCCTCGGAATAGTGGGAGGGTCTCTTCGTGGAAGTAAGAATATTGCATCCCTTTGAGAAAGTCGAAGTTGTAACAAATATCGCATTATTGGTGCTTACTTGTCTTCCATGGGAATCGGAAAATTTACCAGTCAATAAAGCCTGGGACAAACAATTTTGAGTCACCACATCAGCCTTGTCTACATTTTCTAAGAAGACAATGGACAAGGGTTTCTTGCACAATTCTCCGGCAACATAATCAATAACTGTCTTACCTCTAAACCTGACGTCATAACCATTCACCACTGGACAATCAAGATTTGTGTCTGAAGGGATCATTCTATCCTGAGAATTTAGATCCGCACAGATCAATTGTTCCTGGTTTCCGTATAAGACCTCAGCAAGGGCAATGGCAATTTTCTTTTTACCATACCTATCAGGTCCTGTAAAGTTGAACCATACATCCCTTCTGTTACTTGCTCCACAGAATTTTTCACTTCTAGATCGGCAGTTAGCTATCCTTTTGCTAATTACACTTACAGCATCAGTTTGCCAGCCAACCCTTTCAAAGAGAGCTCTAAAAAGCATCTTGACATCACTTGGATCAAACTGCCCATGGTTGTCAGGATTCGAGCAAGATGATGATCGAGTATAATAGAGATTCCCATTGACTAAATCAATATTAGAGGAAAAGCAACCCGAGATGTCCTGTTGAAGTGCTTGATTCAGATCTGGCGGTTTATTCGGTGTATTACTAGCAGGAGAAGAGCATATTCCTAACCCTAAATCTGTGGTGACGGAAGTGGTTGATGTGGCAGATGTTCCATCAACCACACTAGAGTTGGACAAGCAGGGTGACCTGAGGCCAGCCGACTCAAGATCTTCATCTTTTGAAGTTTTTTCCCAGACTTCGGAAGAGAAACTGTCATTCTTAGCCTTTGGAGGAAGGCTTGATTGTGTTTGCACATCTGCGGCCATGCATGAGTCTGCATTCTTGCACTCAATTTTACGTGAAGATATATTGATGGTGTTGTCGTGATTGCACCTCTTGTCTTCAGGAGACTGAAATCCTACTATAGTTGGAAAGAAGTTTGCTTCGGGCAGGGGACGAGAGTCATGAAGATGTTGGCATTTATCATCCCATTTCTTTTGCAATCCTGAAACTTTGGCACTCAATAACACACCATCGTCTTTGGTCTGCACTGAAGAGAGACAAACTAGTTTTCAAAAGAATAATGTAAAAACCCTGTAGTTTGAAGTAATGATTTCACTGTTAACTAGAAAAACAAACCCTAAGATACCAGACTCTACATATTAGACCAGATACTGTCATACTGCATAAAGAGGAAGTATTATCGAACATACGGCTGCCTACTTTTAGCCAAAATGGGAATAATTCTCTATCAGTTAATGGACACTGTGGGGAAAAGGCTTAAAAGTCAAAAAAAATAAAACTTTACAGAATGCGTAATGCAAGTAGGAGTTCAGTTCGCATCATATATTCCCATTCCAGAGGTTTGGCACATTGCACAATTTAGACAATTAAAATCAGAATCGAATATGTATTGATCGTGATACACACCTTCATATCCAATCCCTTGTTTGTGCCAAGAGGAGCCATCTGCAACCAAGAAGGCAAACTAGCTGGGGGCTGACCTGCCACTGAAGCTGTAATACCTCCCATCGGAACAGAATACGCTTCTTGCTCACTTTTTTCATTGCCCTGATGATTGCGGGGAAACCATTGATACGAGCAACTTATTGGGAGCTTTAGCTCAGAAGGTGCTGAAAACAATCCACCAAATGGAACAAACGACTCCATCAAGCTGTAAGTAAATCATGACCAGTAAACTGTGAGATTCAACAGGCATCATAAAGTCAGGATTTAATCTGAAAATACAAGTTCTATACACTTTTGGCATGCAGGATGCACTTTTAAACTTCTTCCCCAGTCTATTAATGATTTAGACTGGGGAAGAAGTTCGATGCGATGAAGAAAGCCATAGGATTGTCGTCAAGAGAAAAGGACTTGGCCCCTAGAGACTTTAAACTTTTCCGAAGACCGTAAACTTCGGGGAAATATACATAGATAAAAACGTTTTAGAAACCTTCAATAAAAATTAGAACTTTTTCGCTGCAAGGGAACTTAATTAGCAATAAAATACATCTTAGTGTCCCTCTCGTGCACCTTTATTGTCTGTTTAGCGTCCGATCAGTGAAAAGGTTATGCTTTTCAGGGAAGATTGTCAAAAATTCTTGTATAAATAGACATAAAGTCGCAACGTATAACTCGATCTTTACAAATCTTCAATTAGCGAAAGAAAAAAAAAATTATGACAGAAAGATGTACAACTCTCACATCAGATTAGCAAAGAAATAAATTATGGGACTAAATTGTATGGGAAACTAAGCATCTAAAGCAAAGGTAACACAAATTTTATAATTCATTCAGAAGCAAACAAAACAGAAAAGGCTTCCACATCCACATATGTTACCAAACTTAAAACTGATTAAATTCGTATGCTTGACTTGCACCCAAGTTCGAATCTTTTCGCGAAAAAGTTGAATAAAATGAATGTAAAAATATAGATTAGGAGGCAATAACTCACCTGGACCTGGGATATGATTCAGCCATGGAAGCACCTCTGAGAGAATTGATGGGCAGAAGCTGCAAGTCCCAGTCTTTTTCCACAGATGGAAACCTCTCCACGAACTTTAAGTAACTTCCATAGCTAGCCGTTGCACCAATCAACCAAATTTTCCCGCGCTGAAGTTCCAGCAGCCTTGTCAACTCGGTCACCACGTGACTCACTGAGTCAGCCACCGCGTTCTCAGCCACAAACGCCTTCAAGTCCCCAATGTTCAGAACAATCCCAGGCCCCAAACTCTGCTCTGCGACCCGACCCACCTCCCCGAACCTCAAATTCACCGACCCTTCGTCGCTATCCGCGGTGATAAACTTTGAGACATCGTTTTCCACTGAAATTACAGACAACCCAGACAGGTCCGCCGGCAAAACGCCGCCGTCTCTTTTCTCCAGAGACTCCACGAAGCTCTTGAGGGCGTCGTGAGCGAATATGCCCACAAGCAGAGGATTCCGCACTCTGTTTCTCCCGACAACCTCTCCTATTCTCCTCGAATTCTCGTCCCCGTCAGTTAAAACGGTTCGGGTCGGGCGACCGGGATCTGGGTACTCGGCTAAGTTGCAGAGAAACAGAGGATGGTGGCCTCTGGAGCGCGGGTATCTGAGAATCTGAGGAAAAGGGCGTAAAATTGCAAGCTTTATTTCCGAGCTCCGAAACCCCGCTTCAGCGAAGACCCGACTGACGACAGGGTCGTCGAGAATCGACAGAATCAGGTGCTGGAGCTCCACTTTAATGGCGGAGATCGAGGACTGCTGCGAGAGCTGGTGGTATAGGTGGTAATTTTCGGGCTGCCTCCGCTGGTTGGCTTGGGACCGTTTGATGGCGGCCATGAGCGAGTTCGAAACGGGCGGGTCGTCGGCGAGTTGGGTCGAGGAGACCCTGTCGAGGGAGACGCTGAGGCAGAGCTCCAGAGCCTTGAATTGCAGTCGGGGCGAGTAGGCGGAGTTTCGGGCGCGCGCGCAGGCGTCACGTAGCGCGGAGGACGGGATGGAGAGTAGAGCGGATATGGCGTGCAGTGACGTCGTTTGGCCGTGGCCTCTTCGGCGCGCGACCGCCACGGCCTCGTCCAAAGCGTTTGCTGCCTCCGGCGTTAGGCATTGCCTGGCTACAGTAACCGGCGTAGGCATCGCCGCAGAGCATACAAATTTCACAAATTAAAAAACAAAACTTCGCTACAAATTCTATATTCTCCTAAATGCTCGATTTTATTTACGAACAAAATAATAGATTAAAGAAAATAGATAGCTCTATTTTTTTAATGATTTTTTCATAAATTTGCAGTGAAATTTGGGCATAATATTTGTAAGCTTGTTGAGTAGAGTGTCTTGTGTGGCAAAGTGTTTCTAATTATTTATTGGTGTTCTTGAGGGTGGAGGTGTGGGCCCACATTAGGACGGTGGGACCCACAAGAGAAAGGCAAAATTAACCAGGTGAGTTGTGACTGGTCAGCATAGATTCTATTCACCACTCATAGGTGTCTGCTGGTGATGTGCCCTTTTTATAATAAAAACGAGAGACCGCGAATTACGTAATGAGACAAATAATTAGTGGTCTCTCATTACGTAATTGGAGGCCTCTCATTTTTTCTATAGTTGAGTTCAATATCGAGAGTTTTCACTTATCTACTTCTTCTCTTGCCTTTAACATAATTCTTTAATTCAAGCTTGTACGTCTTGGTCTTCTCTCATTACTTCATTTTTTTAACCTGACTTCGCAATTGTTCAATAGAAGATTATTGCGTTGTGTATGTTTTCGATGAAACCTAATAGACATTTACTCGTATTCTATTCAGAATAAACATTTATTTGGTATCCTTCGTAAGGAAACGAGAGAAGGGTCAAGCTCGGCAAATGACTACAATGATATAGTGTTGTTGCAACTTTTAAATTTTGTTTAAATTAAAGAAGAATATGAATTAATTATGAATAAAACTTATATCGCCCCAACCTATTATCTTATGCTTTTAACTTTGAAAATTTTAGAAGTTGACATCTAAAATCTATACATAGGTTGAAAATATTAAATTTAATTTACTCCTAGAAATCAAACGAGACTTAAAATTTAAATAAGAGTGTATAGGTTGAAATTACGACAGATGATTCATCAAATAATTATTTATAAATTCATGTCTCAACGACGGTTACAATTACCAAGAGCACGTAAACGGAAAACCCTAACAAAATCCTCCTGGTGCATAATCAGTCTAATTGCAATCATGATTCATCAATTCTTCATCATCATCATGTTCGAAGGAGTGAAAGCATGAAAGAAACTGTGGAAAGAAAGATGCTTGTGTCCACTTTGTTAATTTTGTGTGAGTGGGCCACAAACTGACAGTCAACGTCACTGTCCGCTGACGTGTCGAGCATGGTGGTGGTGCTATGAGTTGACTCAATGACTCGATTCAACATGACAATATTACTGGTTGTATAATTACTATATGGTTGAAATCCTCTTCGAATCAGTATCATGCCAATTTAATTGACAATAACCTTTTGGTACAATTTCAACGCGAATTTTTTTATAAAAAAACTAGTGAAAATAATTTACAAATTTTAAGTTTTAACAAAAATAACAAAATAACAAAATAAAAAATAAAATAAATAGTACAAGATTAATTTTTTAATACACAAATATAATTTTTCATTAAAATTAATAGTACGTTTTTAAAGTTATCTTTTTTTATATTTAGTTTCACATAATACAAAGTGGTCTCCCTCCTCTCTTTCTTTCCGCTGCTATCTCTTCTTCCCCTTCCTCTCTTCCCATGTCCGCAAATACTTGCTCTTGCTATTGAATAAAGCCTCCATATTCTCAAATTTTTGTTTGAACCAAAGAACTAAATTGCAAACCAAACTCAAAGAACAAACTGCAAGGATTATCATTGAAGGCCCAGAAATAAGAATCACGATAGACTTGCTCGAGAGAATGGAGGTTTGCTGCTCGTCGGTGATCTTATCGACGATTATCCAAATCTCTGATAAGAAGAAGGGGAAGAGAAATCAGTGGAGGGGTAAAGGAGGCAACCTAATTTGACCTGTACAACCAATTTAACAAAAAAAAAAATTCAGTCGTTAAATTTATACCAATAGATATGGTTAAAAAATTTTAACGAAAAACTTCTCGTACTATTTATTTTAACGAAAAATTATATTTTTACATTAAAAAGTCAATCATAGTATTATTTACTTTACTCTTTATTTTTTTATTATCTTTAAAACTCAAAATTTTCAAACCATTTTCATTAGTTTTATTTATAATTCATTGTTCCGCAAGATTCGCACTGGACTGATCATGAAAGAATCTCAGTCCACAGTCTATGATATGATATGAGCATTTATTCCAACTCGTATAATTATATTCCCATTAATACCAGGAATAATTATTAATTAATGTTTAGATATTTCTTCTTCGTCTTGGCATTGTTTTTGACAAGTAGATGCTTAAATTAGACAAGAATTGTCTGCCCTCCTATTTCAGGTATTTTTCTGTACTTTTTTGTTTTGTGTGGTCATGATTAAATCATGTTAACATTTTATATTATTTTTTTATAGAGATAATAAGATAAAAATGAATAGTAATATAAAATGTTGACGTAGCTTAACCGTGATCACACAAACGGGTACGGAAGAATACCAAAAGTGGAAGGACAGATAATCCTTGTCTGCTTAAATTAGAGAGAATAAGATATGATGAAGTCATCTAGTACGATCGTATTCATGGGTCGGTTTTAAATTCCAAAAGCTAGCTAGCAAATTGCTTAGTTGATGGAAATACATGACTGGCTGTTAACCTTTCGGCAATGGCATCTTTGGCAATCAAAGAAACTGCAACTTTAGAGATATAGTTTTATTTGATCAAGTGTCACTAAATCGAATGATCATTGATTTTCATTTTTAGGAGATTGAGATTTTATTTCATATACCATACTTATTGTTTTTCTTTGGGCCGTAGACATTAACAAATCATATACGAGCTTGTAATTGTCGTCAACGCTTCGAACAAATAGCTTTAAGGATTGAAAACAATTGAAAAGGCATGAAATAGGCAACAAAGTTCATGTATTTCAATTTTGAACTTCGATGTCCGCTTTCAGGCCAAGACATGCCATTTAAAAAAAAAAAACGTAACGAACAATACCCAGTGTTTTGCTCTGATATATTTAAGTTTTTTCAGTTCATAGCTAGATGTATTTCGTCTTGTTTGACTTCTCAACTATCATGCTGCGTAAATTACTTCCTTACCCGGGTATCAGTGTGTCACTGCATATCTCTGTCGTCGTCGTGAGAGGGACGGAGAAAGAGGGTCGGTTCAATATGTAAAGGTAGAAAAGTGATGGGGGTGAGAGTGAAACCCTACAAGTCTGCAACCACCACCGCACATATGCATGTCATTCATCATTATCACCTCAAATCCTATACATGAAAAGATCTTTTATTCCTTTGCTTTTGGTTTTGGTGCGGAAGATTTGATCTCGTAGTAGCTAACTAAGTTTCTTTTTTATCGAAATTCTTCAAAGCATTCACACACATGAGGGGGAGAGGAGACTAGGAGAAGGATTTACATTAAACAAGTTCACACTAACCATGACGTCTCAATCTCTTATCGTGTTATTGAGTTGTTAAATCAAATTATTCACGTGACGGTAAACTCGTCTAATGTAAATTAGTCTCAATAAGGGAGTGATTAATTATGTAGGTGTTTGATTTGATGGGTTTTTGCTGGGACTTTCTCTGTTGATGCTTTTGCCAACCCTTTTCAGTTGCTTTTTCCCGTACACCAAAAACCAAAGTCTTCTCAGTTTGACCTTTCCAAACCACCTTCCTCCCCCTTCAAACAGTTACTCAACCAGAACCCTAGGAGCAGTTTTTCATTGAGCAATCTTTTACCGCGGATTGTCATATCCAGTTATAATATGGTAAATCCAAGTTTTACTACTTAATAAGGATACCGAGTTTGAATCTTCTCTTGTTACTAAATATGCTATTTGGTTTTTCTTTTTCTTCATGAGTCAGAATTATAAGCTGGTTTGGTTTTTCTAATTTTTGTTCTGGTATGATATACAAACGTTTAGTTACTTGTGATTTCTGATCGTTTTTTATATTTAAATTAAAATTTTAAAAGAATAAAGAACATAAATAAAAATAAGGGTTTGTAAAACGAACAAGCACAAATCATTTCCCATAAAATTAATAAAAATTTAATTGAACGTATGCCTTCTAAGAATGGTGACTGTGATGTCATTTTCGACCACAAAAGTGAATAAAAGTTGGTGTCATTTTCGCATATATAATGTTGCTCTCTCAGCGGCCAAAGCGTCGACATACGTTCCGAGTCCCACTCACCCAAGTTGCAGATGAAATCCTAAAATTCATTTCCATTTATTTCTTTGTATTTTTGGAGTGATGGTCCTGACTCCTGATGGAGATATGGGAAAGGGAGAATCTGGTATTGGAAGATCTCTTGCATTTAGAAATCACCCTCCACCTTTTCCCTTTTTTTTTTTTTTTGGTAAAAAGCTGCCATTTTTCAACTTCATGCTTTCACCTTTTAACCTGCAACTACGCGTACGTAGAAGTCTTCTGGGAATCAATTTTTGCAGAAAAATATCAAAATAATTTATTTCCTCACGCTCTGTGCACTATATTCGAGAATACCACTTTGACATGCATACGTCACGTAGTATTACTATTGTACGTTACTGTTATATGTAACAAAATCTATAAATCCTAGTTATACCTTAAATTTATTTGTATTACGGTTTACTTGTCTTCTTGTATTCGTGATCATTGTCTCTATGAATATGGTGTGGATCAACATAAATTATAATTAACTTTCTTCATTCAAAAGATGCACGTCTGGTTATTTTTCTTATAAATTAATATTTTGAAAAAATATTTAGATTAATTGTGAGTGAGCACGTGATTGGTTTTTGACAATCAATACATGTACCTCGTATGTTTACAATGGTTAGAAACTAATCATGAGCGTGTGGACAACTAATGTTACGAAGAGTCCTCAGACCTCATGTATTTCAGTAAAATGTAAATCATTCTGACCTTTCCCTAACTTTCTATCATGAGAATAAGAGGTCAAAATTATTAACAGTGTGTTTCTTAGATTGAATGATGGTCTCGTTGTATAAGTGACTCAGACCTCATTCAGTGGTAGATGTTGCTTGTGTGTTTCGGTGGAGTACTAGTAACGCAAGCTCTCTTTTTACTTTTTGCTTCTAATTGAAAGAAGTCCATATTACATGGAAACCCTAGTAGTACCATGCATGATGCCCCTGTGGACTCGCATTTGAAATTTGATTCTATTCCTATTTC